CCTCCCGAAATATTTTTACCTAAATATCATGGGTATATTGATGTTATATATTAATTCAGCATATTTGTAAATTGAGATTGAAATACTAAAGTATTACCTCTGCAAGTGCTTCAGCAGCCTTGTTTGGATTTGTTTCTAGTCTAGACACAACGATCCGAAGCGAACCCAAGAAATTTTCTAATACACCAACATCTTCTTCATAATGGTATGTGGGGTTCAAGTAATAAGCTACACAATATAAAAAATGATAACACTTATAAATGATAACATTCAAAATGATAACACTTATCAATAATAAAAATATAAATTGATAAACAATAAGTTTACCTGCCATATGAATATGTTGAATGATTTGTTTTTTCCATCGAGCATCAATGATGTCAAGATATTTTTTGCACGATTTAGGAGCCGCATCTTTGACAGCTTGTCTTGCTCGTTTCATTGCTTCATATACATATGGAATTGTTGCTTTTCTTTCCTCATCCACCATTCTTAGAACTTTTGCAATAGGTGTATGCATATTCAACACATTTTTGGCGGTCTCCCAAAATTTAGGATTTAGAATTGTCCCTTGAACTCGCTTTCCAACTGGATCCTTTGCTGCCGCAGTCCTAGACCAATCTTCTGAAGTAAACATCCTTTGCAAACCATTTCTCTGCTCCAACATACTTTGTAAGGCAATATAATTAGTGGCAAATCTTGTTTGCCCTGGCCGAATCAATTCCCCCGAACAAAATGTTCGCATTATATCCAAGACTCTATTATGATTATAAATAAAATTTGTCACTCTTTTAGCTTGCTCTAGTACATTTTGAACCGTTTCAATCTTGGAAAAATCATGCAAAATCAAATCTAGAGAGTGGGCAGCACAAGGAGTCCAATATAGGTGTGGTCTTCTTTCCATCAACATTTCACCAGCTTTTTTGTACGCACTGCCATTGTCTGTAATAATCTGAACCACATATTTCTCTCCAATCTCTTCAACAACAGCATCCATCAAACCCAAAATATAATTAGCATCCTTGTCATGACCAGAACTATCAATTGACTTGTGGAAAACAATTTTTCCATCACAATATATCAAGAAGTTAATGATAGATAATCTTGTGGTGGATGTCCATCCATCACACATGATTGTCACTCCATAAATCTCCCACTTCTTTTTGAACTGGTCAATGTACTCTTTCAGCTCATCTATCTCATTATCTAGCAATGGTCCGCCAATCTCATATGGGGTTGGGCCTTTCACACCCACTCCAGCTAAAGCAATTTCATCAATCATCAATTGGTAAAAATGACCTTGAGCTTTGCTTGGTGGAATATTCTCATAAATGAAATACTTTGCAATAGCATGTTTTGCCGACTTTGCCCACTTTTTCGGATTCCACATATGAGTTAGCTTGGCTTGCTTTACTTCCCTATTCCGATACATCGAAGGATCCATCTCTTCTATCGTGAGATCCTTTTCTCTGCCCATCCACTTTTGTGATTTTCTTGAGAATTTATCCCAAGATTCCTTCACACTATGTGAGCGCATTAAACCCCTAGATATACCACTTTTTTGGATAGATGGTCTAGAACTTCCTCCTCTAAAGCCTTGCTCGGCCATATGTATATCACGAATAGATTGTTGTTTTGCATACTCAATATCATCTCTATATTCTATATCCATATCATCATCTGAATTCTCATCGGAAGAATAAATTTCGATACCACTCCTCCGCCTCGATCCACCAATTAAATTTTGTCTCATTTTTCTCCGTTCACCAGTCACTTCTGCATTTTCAGTCTTGTTGCGATTCAAGTAATCCCTCATAGCTTTCGCAATTTCAATAGGACACTTATCACATTGTTCCACATTATTATAACCGCCTGCCAAGTGTTGCTTTAACCGTGACACACCGCCACCCATCATTTTTTTATGGCAAAAATTACACATTACATGTTGTCGATTATCCCCAATTCGTTCGCCGTAATTCCATCCAATATCACGTTCTTTTTTTTTTTTCTGCGATGATTCAGTAGCTATATTCTTTCCTTTTGATGTCATATCTACAATAAATATCATTACGTTATTAAATATATTAAATTAATTTTACAAATTAAATATGACATGTATAACACTTTTAATTCAAATATAATAATATAAAAGAATAATTACAAAAATAAAAAAAAATAATGAAGGGTATCAAATTAAATTAATGGTACTTATGTATGCAGTGGGGTATTAAATATAATTACAGTTGGGTGGTAAATGTAATTGTAGTGGGATATTAAATGTAATTACAGTGGGTATTAACTATTAAATGTAATTGTAGTGGGTATCAAGTATAATTACAGTGGATATCAAGTGTAATTACAGTGGATATCAATTGTAATTACAATGGTATTAACTATTAAATGTAATTATAGTGGGTGGTAAATATAATTACAGTGGGTATTAACTATTATATGTAATTACTGTTGGGTATTGAATGTAATTACCGTATGTATTAAATATAATTATAAGGGGTATTAAATATAATTATTCATACATGTAACAAAAAAAAAATAAAAAATATATATATATATATATATATATATATAAGGCAGACGGCATAAACGACTCAGACAAAACACTCACACCACAGCCGAGTGTTTTGGTCGCAGCGATGGTCGCAACGATGGGAGAGAGAGAGAGAGAGAGAGAGAGAGAGAGAGGAAGAAGAAGAAGAAGAAGAAGCAGATACCTCGGCGATGGCGATGGCGAAGGCTCTGCGTGCAAAATTCGAGCCCTAGATCTGCGTGGAAAACCCGAAAATGGCTGAATCTCCTGAAATCTGGACTCAAGGTTAGTTCCTCTACTCTTCTCCTTCAATTTCTCTGTCTCTTCGAGCTCCCGATTTTGATCCAAAATGCTTTCTGTCTCTTCGAGCTCCCGAATCTCCTTCAATCTGGACTCCCGATTTTTTCTCTGTTAAATTGGACTGACTTCTGGAAGGAATCTACTTTTTGTGCCTCATGTGATTTCTGTTAAATTCTTGTGCTTTCTGTGCCTCATGTGATTTCTGTGCCTCATGTGACTCCCGATTTTTTCTCTGTTAAATTCTGACCGACATGTGAAAGGGCATCTCTGTTTTTTTGTTTTTTTGTTACCTGGAGTGAACCACATCTAATCTGTACTGTTTCGATGGAAACGGTACCGATTCGACCGAAACGGTCCGATACACTGCCGATTCGAACTAAACATTGGAATTTTAGTATTCATCCCCTGTTTCGTGTCGGTGTGTTGAAATTCCGAAACGTTTCGGACGTTTCGGATGTTTCGACACGAGATTTCGTTCCTTGGGGCCATGATCCTTGGCAATAGACCACTCATTTTGAAAAAATGGCAAGCTAACATGGAACTCACTAGGGAATTGCAATAAAAAATTCTAGTTTGGGTTCATCTTTTTAATCTGCCCTTAGATTTCTGGAGAGGACGACCTGAGTTATGTATCAAGTACTATGGGGAGGCCATTATATGCTGAAAGACACACTCAACAGTGTAAAAGGATAACCTATGCTATAATATATGTTGAGCTAGATGTTGAACAAGACCTAATTGAGTCCTTTGATCTCAATATTGATGAATCCAAAGGGATTTTTATCAAAGTGGAATGCCATTGAAAACTAAAGTTTACAATATCAGCCAAGTGTTTGGTCATTCTCATCTTACTTGCTCCAAAGCTCCACTACAACACAACAGAATGTCCCTTCGGACAATGGCAGTATATTAAAAACTCCAAGACTTCTAATGCTACTAACCTTAAAGGTAAGGAGATTGCTCCATTAACCTTAACCTCCACAGAAGTTACTGTAATGACCAATGTAACTAGTCACCAAGGGCCATCTAGTAGCCGGGGTCCTCAAGGAGCTGTAGACAATGCAAGAGCTCCTCAGCACCTACATGACTAGACTCTTTGTCCATCCAAATCTAGATTTACTGAACTGCAAGTAAGGATCAAAATATCGTTTCAAAACGGTCGAAACATCCGAAGCGTTTCTGTTTCCAAGTAGACCGAAACGAATCAGTGATGGAATCAAAATTCTAATACTTTTGAGATGGTTTGAAATGTTTTGTTATAATTCAATGCATTTGCACAATTATTTCAGAATGTTTTAAGGTATTTCAATATATTTTTGTATATTTCGATCATTGTTTTGAAAAAATAATTCTTAATTTTTTTTTTATTCTGTTTTCGAAATGTGTTGAAACATTTCTAAAATATGTGGAAACGTTTTCGTTTTTTAGGTGACCGAAACAATGCAGCGAAACAGAATTTTGATCATTGACCGGAAGATGAGTAAGTATCAAAATATCGTTTCGAAATGGTTGAAACCTTTTCGTTTTAAAGGTGACTGAAACAAATCAGTGATGAAATCAAAATTCTAATATTTTGACGTATTTCATAATGTTTCAAGATGTATTATAATATTTCAATGCATTTCCACAATTGTTTCAGAATATTTTAAAGTATTTCAAGATATTTAATATATTTTAATCAATATTTTAGAAAAATAATTCTTAAATTTTTTATTTTTTTATTATGTTTCCGAAATGGGTCGAAACATTTTTGAAACACATTGAAATGTTTCCGTTTTTCAGGTAATCGAAACAATACACTAAAACAAAATTTTGATTCTTGAAGAGGAGGTAACTATTCCTTCCAATGACAATGCCTTCACTAACAATGAAGATGCTCAAGTTTCAACATCTCTTTCTGATAAAATTGTTCTTAGTGACCTAGCCAACTTCAAAAAAAAAAAAAAAAAGAAGCACCCCCTTATCCTTAGAGGTAAGTGGGATCATTTCCCGGAGAATTCCCAAACCTAAATGTTTAATATTAGATGTTTGGAATGTTAGGGCTCTTAATTCGCCTACAAAACAAGATGAAGTTAGAAAGTTCATTTTTTATCACCAATTTGACTTAATTGGTGTAGTGGAGACTAAAGTCCGAACAATAAAAAAAGAATCGGCCATGAGGGCTCTGGTGGTGGAAAAATCCACTCATCTGTGGCAAGACAATGGGCATCCTCATCATTTTCTCCTGCTTATATGGTCACCTAGTATCGTTGATTCCTCTCCGCTCCCTAAGTTGACACTGGCATTAGTGGAAATTCTTGGGTATGGCCACCTTCAAAGGCATATGAAATTTTGCAAATCCGAGATTCTCTTCCTTCATATCTCCCTAATCCTCTATGGATTCCCTCCTCTATTTGTACCTACACCTCATAATTAGCTTGGAGATGCTTCTATAGATCTGCTCCAAAAGGTCCCCTAGCTCAAGCTTATTTGTTATCCTTAACAAATTCCCAGGATGAGCTTTATCTTGTGGTTAGCTGTCCATGGAAAGTTAGGGACATTGGACCATGTTAAGAAATATATGCAGCATTTAAATCCTATCTGTTTATTCTGCAGAACCTTTGAGGAAACCATTCCCTACAGGGGGAGTCTGGAGCAAAGTTCTTCAACTCTCTCATATCTTGGTATCCTCTTGCTTGGCTTAATGCAATCCAGTTAGCATCTGAAAGCTGGGGAGGCAAATCCCTTAAAAGTGAGAGTACTTAAATTGTGCCTTGTAGCCACAGATTATTCCTTTGGGGAGAAATAAATGCTAGTCTTTAAGAATGAATATAAGGATGCAGCCACCATCTTCAAGTCCATCATTCAAATGATCAACTGCAAGCTGGTTACCGTCAGTCATAGGCATACTCCAATGAATGTTGACTTTCTTCATGTGTGGAGTTCCTCTGCTTCTAATGCACTTGCTGGTTTTTGAGCTTCTCATGTGATCTTTTTTAAGTCCTAAACTGCTACAAGTCCTAAGTCCTATAAAAGTACTTCTACCAGTATAGGTTTATTTGGCTTTTTTTACTGTTTGATAACCACCAAGTAGGATTACACTTGTACACTTTTGCTATGTTAAATGAATACATTTTATTACCCAGAAAACTTGTTTCATGATTAGTCTTTGTCTCATGATTTCCAGTGTGCTCATTACACTCAAAATAGTCACTTAATTGCATATTTGCCCAAGTTTAGCACCAGGTCTATGAGGAATTTTTTTTACCATTACCGTGTTGCTGTGTCATTTAATTTGATGTTTGTAATCATATTTCACACAAAAAAGTAAACTGCATTATGAGCTTCTGGTACCATTCCTTCATGGGCCCAAGTTAATGGCCAGCCTTTTAGCAGCTCTATGATTGCACAGATGAGATGATAAGTAGCTGGTGTAAAAGATGTAAATGAAGCTGTGTGTCATGTAACACTTTAGCTTGTTAGTTTGCTGGCTTCTTCTACATTCTCTGTTACTCTTTGATACCTAAAAAAGAAAATGAAGAGAAAAAAGAAAAGGCCATTATTCGTAAATTTAGTCAGCTAAAGGTGCTGGCAGGATTAGACAGGTTTCATGATTGATTTGAATTTTCTGTTCATAAATTATTTTATTGTCATGCCAAAATAGCCTCTCCACATAAGGGGATAATGTTGTGTATCATCTGATCTTCCCCAGGCTCGCAATCATGTACTCATTTAATTATTTTATTGTTATGCCACTCTATATGTCTGCGTAGACTATTGTTTGTCAGCACTCTTTCTTTGGCTTGTGTAACTACATAGTAGATGTCAGGTAATTTTTTTAGGTTAAAGGGCTAATTCTATTTGTAGTTGGCACCCCTTTTTCAGAATGGGAAACTTATATACATCTATATATTTTCTAAATTGCATTTGCAGGCAGAGATGACTCTCAAGCAAGTGGAGAACTTTAGCCCCCCGATTATGAAACAAGTTCTTCCTCTTGTGGAGCAACTTCCTCCCTTGTACATGGAACTCGTAAATGGAAGGGAATATTTTACTCCAAAACCAGAAGAAACTCGACGATTGGTATGCCAATTCTCCTACTGTGATTATGCTTAGCTAATATCTTTTACGTTTTCATGTCTGTTTTAGTTTACTTCATCATTGTGCAAATTTTGACTAAAGTATGATGTTGATATGGAGTCACTTAAAATAAAATGTGTCAATTCAGTATAGCAATGTGCACCTATGGCCAAGGTTACAATTTGACTGCCCTTTATGATTCTTGTGTACATACTTTATAGGTCTTTGAGAACTCTGGTATGGTGTATGGTGGGGACTAGTAAAGTTTAATTATTAGTTGATGGTGCCTAGGTGATGGATGGGCTCCATTTTGGAGAGGCTGCATCTTGGCAACCCTTATTTTGGCACTTTGATATGCTGACGGGGGCATTTTTCCACTGAAGTATCTTTTTTTTTTTTTTTGTCATTAAAGTTAAAAGAACAAAGGGAAAAGTTCCCTTGACACTGATGGTGTAGGAAGTAGAGCTGATAGGGAGTTGAATAGGTCGGTATGATTGTACGAGTAACGGTAATCTCCTTCGACAACTCAGGAAAATTGCTTGAAATATTTGGAGGAATTTGTAGTTGCTCAATTGTTGTTGGCTCTATTTTTTGGTAATGACGCAAGCTTATTCTTTTTATTTTCGGCAAGTCAAGCAACCGTATTTCTAGTTAGTTTGATGGCAGTTCTTTGTAATATTGGGGGTTCTGCAATAATGTACTATCTTCAGCATGCCATCATTTTCCATTAGCCAACACTGGTTAAACTTGCTTCAATAGCTACAATTGCACATGATGCAAGAACAAAGAGATTGAAAGGAAGTAAAACAAGAAGAAAGATTGTAAGGATAAATGTTACCCTTAAGCGAGATGGATCATCCCTCATGATGAAACACGTGAGATCAAGACACTACCCTAGAGGGGGGTGAATAGGTTAATTAAAAATTTAACAATTGGACAAACACCAATATTTAACCTAATTCTACCACAATCATCCCTTCTCAAAAATCAATTTAACAATTAAAATTGATGTTAGAGTTCTTATTTTTATGTTTATGAGCGTAAGGTAGTTTAGTGTATATTGTAATTATCCTAGATATTTTTTCAATATAAATAAGAGGGTGAAGGGCAATACACCTGATTATTCCCTTTCTTTTGCCTCTTTTTTCTTCTTTCCTTCTCTCTCTCTCTAACCGTAATATCACTTTTACTATTTTAACTTGGTATCATAGCATTCTTTTGGAAAATTATAAAAGCAACTTTAAAAAAGAAAAACCAAAAAAAAAAGGAAACTATTTTTGTCGTTTATGTCGTCTGTCGAAAAGTGTAGTCAACATTTTCCTGCAACGGGAATTCATGGGCTTGATAGATTTTTCAAGGTGGTAATTATGGTTATTTCTTAATTTTTTGAAGCTATTTGCATAAGGTTTTCTATTTTCGAATTTTTTTTCTAAAAAATAGGCCTTCTTTTTTCGATTTGTAGATTTGAAGCCTGTTTTTGAGATTTGTTGCTTTGATTCCTCATCGATAAGTCTGACTAAGTGATTGGAAGGTCGGTTCGACATTCTTAGCCCTCTTACTGAGTTTTAGTTAGATTTTAGAGTAATTAGGGTTAGATAGAGAGGAGACGATTTGGTAGAAAAGGAAGAGAGATTAAGGGAAGAGTGTAGTGTGTTAGGTTACGCTGCTACATCCCAATATATATAGCAACATAAAAATATCAAAAATACCCTTAAGGGTTACATCCTAAATAATATAACATAACACTCCTCATAAAAAGTATGCAAATTAAATCCTTGTTTAGCTTCTCTTTGATGAAGTGTCGATCAATCTTAACTTTTTTAGTTATATTATGTAAAACTGGATTATGTGCAATGTTGATAGCTATCTTATTATGATCAGCATCACTTTGATTATGTCTAAATTTTAACATGGCGTTGAGAAACCTATCAAACTAGGCTCTCGGTGATTGTTTTAACCCATAAAGTGACTTCTTTAAGTTGCACACCTTTTCTTCAGTTGCGTGAGATGGAAAACTAGGTGGAATCTCTATATATACCTCTTCCTCCAGAATATATTACCCAAGGAGCATATGAGGATGATGCAGTAAACACACTAGATTTTCCTATGTGAGCAAACTGAGAGGAAGAGTGATGATTAGGAGTTGTAACAGAGGAAATATTTAGTCGACCCATCAGGAGCCTAAGAGTCTACATCTCATCCTGAGAAAAGGTAGACGGCGTGGTGCCACTAGACTAAGAAGGAGTCTCTGAAGATTTAGTCATATGTGCATGAGATCGCACATTCCCCCCGCGACCTCCACCTCGGCCACCACCTCGACCACGTATAGGACGTTCGGTCAACTTCCAACAATTCTCTCGTGTATGTCTTGTCTTTCCACAATAATCACACTTTAAAGTATCCTTAGACATAGTGTTACTCGTCTCAGTAGACTTAGGCAAGGCTGAACTCATGTTAGCATCATTACCTCTCTGAGAATATGTATGACTTACAACAGTCCATATCTTATGTGTTGTATCAAGCACCATAAAGCCACAATTGATAGAAGGTTGCATTGAATTAAGCAATCAGGACATAACCAAGGCATTCTTAGATGTCCACTATTTTAGTGGGGAACAAGACTCACTAGGCTTCTTAGTCTTTCTAGACCAATACTTATCCAATACTATTGCTTGGACCGATAACAAACAAGCTCGCGACCACACCAAATAATTACGTCCATCTAACTTCTCCGAACTAATTTGGAGAGGGGTTATTTGTGAGCGCACCTAAATGACTCAACCCATGGCCTCCCGTACTTCCTCCGACATTAGTAGAGGTCATAGTCCCTTCTAACATATCCACAAACGGAGATTATAACAAAAAAACAAGTAATCGTAAGAGAACACAACCACACAATTGTCTCAATAGTCTCAAGAAACTTCAATTGCTACTGTTGGAGCGAAATAGTGGTAGCCGGAGCAAAAAGGCTGAACAATGGCCAAAGAACGGTTGGCGACAGAGAGAAAAATGCCAAAACTTGATAGAATTCACTCTAAAATGCAACAATCAGCCTTGGGCATCATATCCCTTCCCTATTCGAGCCTTACACAACAGAAGGAACCAAAAAAAAACTCAGATCACATGGTAGAGGTAGATACCTTACAAAACAATAGAAACCAAAAAAAATTTCAAATCAGATGGTGAAAAGCATATTTGAAGTCCAATAGTGTAGCCGAGACTCGTAGGTACCCAGAAATCGTTGCAAACCCATCAAAATTCAACAAAACAACATGCATATGGTAGATCTAGTCCAGCCGCACCTCACCCAGTCAGATCGTGCCAAAGAAGCAGTCGCAAAGTCGAAAAATTTGTAGATCTGAGCTCTGAAATAAAAAATACTTGAAAATAGTCAAAATTGAAAGTACTTCAGATACTTCCAAAAAATTTCAAGAAAATCACCATAAGACCTAGTACATCAAGTCGGTCAAACTGGAAGAGAATTGCAATTTTTTTGACGTTGTTCATGATGACGTCATCATGTCAGAAAGTTGACATAAGCTGTCGGGAAAAAAATTCGTCAGTTGTTCGAAAACGACGTTAGCACATTCTATTTAGATTCGATAATTTTGAGGCTTCAAATTTGGATTGTTGCTTTGAAACCAAGTTAGATTTTAGAGTAATTAGGGTTAGATAGAGAGAGAAAAAGATTAGAAAGAAAAGGAAAAGAGATTAAGCATGTGTTAGGTTACACAACTACATCCCAATATATATAGCAACATAAAAATATCAAAAATACCCTTAAGGGTTACGTCCTAAATAATATAATATAACAGTTTTTGATGCATTTTTTGGTGAGTTTTGGTAGACGGGTATTGTTTCAACGACCCTATTAGCGACGGATCTGTTGCAGTCTGTTGATTTTTGGTGTGTTCGGCTGTATTTTGTCTCCTGTTTGTGTGTTAGTTGAGTTTGACAGCCAACTCTTGCTTCTTGGTTCATTGGGTAGTCTTTACTCTGGTTGCAGACCCACGACACAGTTGTTGGTACTATTCTAGCGCACTAATCTGTGCTTGGTTTTGACTTTTGTTGATGGATTTGTGATTGTAGGGGTCCTCAGGTGTCGATAGTGTTTTGTTGTGGATTTGTGATCTCTATTGACGCGGTTTGTGTATTTGGAGGTTTTTTTTTAGAGCAAACCAGTGTTGATAACATTGTTTTCCACCTGGACACTGTTTGATTGTTTTTGATTTGTGTTATTTTGTTCTTCAGCCTTTGTAGGATGTTTGAGATCTGCTGGGTTGATATGTGAGTTGCCCAGCCTGTTTTTAGGTTGATTTGGAGGTGTTTTTTGGCCTCTGTGTTGGCTTGTGACCACTAGTTATGTGATTTGGTATGTTGGGTTACATGGTCGTGTGCTCTGGACTTTAGTGTGATTGAAGATTGTTGTAGCCTATTGGTTCCTATCATTGCATAGTTCACTGTAGGTTATATAATGACGAACTTGAATGGTGGTTGTAGTGGCGATCATCGTGGTGGATGTGGTCCATCCTATAGTTCCAGTATTGGTGGTCAAGGTACTCGTGATAGATGTGGTGGTCATTCTAATCGTGGTTATCTTTCTGTGATAGTGTACTTATTGTGGTGATATAGAACATACTAACTATTATTGTTGGGCTAAGTATAGGAGACCAACACATATGCTACTCAGACTTTTAGGGATCTTTTGGGTTCAATAGTTCATCAACCTTTTACCGGTGGCCCACTTGCATCTGGTTTTGGTTCTAGTTCTCCTGATGATCTTTCTTATCTGGTTTATTCAACTTATCCAACAATTATCTTTACTTTCTTTTCATTTGTCTGTCCCTGTCACCGATCTTACTAATGAAAGGTAACTTTGCATATGTGGTTGCTCAATCGTCTTCATCATCTTGGGTCTTTGATTCAGGAGCTAGTGCTCATATGTCTAGTATTTCTTCCTTATTCTTTAATTTTTGANCGTCCTAAATAATATAATATAACAGTTTTTGATGCATTTTTTGGTGAGTTTTGGTAGA